ATGCTGCAGTTCTTTGGGGTACAAACTCATCCATCCCATGACCGTTATAAGTCACCTTTCCAGAAAACTGACCAAGAAACCACACTATATTACATAGAGATACAGGATTAAAAATAAAGAGAAAAAACACATGAAAATATCTTTCGAACAAACAAATTCATTTTCTTTGATGCCCCAACCTTTAACTTTGGATCAAGTCTTGCTGCCAAGGCCAACAATAGTGTGGTTTTTCCGGAACTTGGAGGGCCCAAAAGTAATGTCATTCTGAACAGGAGGAAATGGAAACATTATATTGGTTCCGAAGAGGCTAGCCAATTACGGTATACGGATCTAGTCTACCAATAGTTATATAGAACACCATTTTCACTGTTACCTGCCAGGCTTTATTATTCCACTAACATCCTGGAGAATACGTATATGTTGTTTGCTACTTCGTAGAATACAAAGAGAGTTCAACAGACCCTTTTAAGGAGAAAAAGTGAAACCAAATTAACAAGTTAGAACTCCTTGTGTAAGGTCATGTATATACACGAAAGCTGGTAGCAATACTCACCTCCATAATATTAACCATGAAGTTAGTGAAGGTAGGCAAAGCTCTATTTCCTACACGAGCTTCTGCTTGGACATTCAAGTTCTCAAACCGAACCTCTATAGCAGGAAGATCAATTCCAACTCTGATATCATCAAATCCAAAGAAGAAAAATAGGAACAGAAGAAGCCATCCATGAGTTCAATTCGATCAAAGACACATCTTCATTAATCAAGAAGAAAAGAGAATGAAAATCTCACTTATCAATACGTTCCCTTAGCTTTAGCAAAAACTTCTCATTATCCTCTTCAGCAGTTCTCACCAGTCTTTCAAGCAAGACTCTCCTTTCTTGCAACCCAAGTTTGTGCACATCAATCTCATCCACTCTCCCTTCGGATGAAGTGAGCAAAGCTTTCCTCATACGGGAAATGGTGGGAAGTTTCTGAATGGCAGCCCATTTGAGAGCTTCTTCATCATCCTCTTTGTGGAATGAGTTTGAGAAGATATCCGCATCACTGTCCCTCCAAATGGATGAACTGCCATTCCTGAAACTACCCTCACTCTCCATTTAACCAGACAAAAAAACAAAACAAAATACAACCTTAAACACTGCAACCACCGCTGCACCTAGTAACTGTTTCCCAGAAACAAAAACATTATCAGTTAGCTTTGCCGATGTTTTTAAGTGGTTAAAAGGATCTCATTCCTTTCCCTTAACGAGACACGCGATATATATGTATGGAGAGTGAGGAAGGAATTAAAAGCATGCATTTTTAGCAGGGTCAAATATGGTGGGTGGGTTTCGAGGTGGCAACATATGCATATCTGCGAACAAGTTTTCTAAAGTTCATTAGAACAGAGATATACGTCGAAAAGGGTTGGGAGATCACAACCATGTGTGGCCACCTTGACGCGGTGAAGATGCTACACTATTTTATTACTTCACACCACAGAAATGTTGAATAAAAGAAGTATTACCTGTGAGACATATGGGAAATGGAGACCCTATATATTTTAATAAGATATGTATCAAAATTGAGTTGACCTTACTCATTAATAAATATATTTTTATACTTCAATTTGTAACCTAAACATAGTACTTTCCTTGTGCAAGAAAGGTTATATTTCTATATGGAAGGACAACTTATACTTCTGATATTTTTATGTATTTTTTTTTCATAGCAGCAGAACCATACTTTTTTTATGTGAAAACTGATGAGACACCAACAGCTTGGCGTGAATAGTAAGCACTTTCGGCCTAAAGGATTTGATTATCAGGTCTTGTGATATGAAATAAACTTAATTGGAAGGAGATTCCTTAAACTGGGTAGAGGAAACTATTGCAAAAGAAAAGACAAAAGGTATTATTCATAAAAGCTTGGGATCACACTTCCAAAGGCATAATTATTGTTTGTTTTCATGGGTTACTATTTTTTTGCAAATTACTAAAGCACTTTTCTTTCTAATATTTATCAAAACTTTTGTTTAATTTTCTACTTGTGTGGTTTTACAAATTTTCAATTTTATTATGGTTGTTTTCTTTAACAAAATGAGTCAATTTTTGGTAGTTTAGTTTGAAACGTACTACTTTATTTCAAAGCTAAACTGGTAGTTTGCGTTAAGTCATGGAATTTAATGCATGTTTTAATGTTGATCTTTTTATTATTTCTATACTAGCATGTGGACCCGGCACAGATTTTTTAAAAATTATATTATTTTTATTATATTAATTTGAATTTTTTTTAAGAAATTATAATTTAATATAAGTATTTTATTTAATAAAATTAAATAATAATATGATTGTTTTTATGATAAGAATGTAATTTAAGTTATTTAAATATATTTTTAATAAAGTATATTGTATATAACTGTTTTAAACAATATATTGAGAGTATCAAAATAAATAATTTTGAGTTAAATTTTACATAAAATATTAGTTAGACAGTAAAAAAATTATAAAGAGTAAGTTTTCTAAAAATAAAAAAGATAGAAGATATTAAATAAACTACTCTAATATTACAAATGATAAATCTCGGAGAAAAGTGTAAAAAGTAACAAAGGTTAAATGATGTAAAAAAGTGGTAAATTATAAAAATATAAAAGTTAGATGATGCACCCAAAAATGTAAATAGTAGAGGATATAATTGTAGCGAGTAGAATTTGTAAACATACAAATGTTATACACGCTATGGAAGAATGTAAAGACAAAACAATTTAAAAATGTAAAAGATAGATCATACAAATGTACAATAGTGATTGTTTGTAATTTTATATTTGTTTGTAAAACTAGAAGAAAAAAATATTGTTAAAAAGACTTGTCTAATATATATGCATGGATATATTAGGATGGAAAGGAAAAATGTGCAGGTACGATGTTCATGGATAAAATTATTAAACTATTTATATCTATCTCAGTGAGTATTCGTTATCCACAAAATATAATAAAAAATTAATTTTTATTTTTTAAATTAATTTAATTAAAAATAAAAATAATTTATATTTTATTAAGTTAAATTTAATTAAAATTAAATTTTAATTTATATTTAATTTACTTTATATTTTAGAGTTAAATATGTTTTTAGTTCCTAAACTATCAAACGAATTTGTTTTTAGTCCTTCCTTCAAAGTAAGGTACATATTTAACCCTATATTTTTTATATATATTTTTTGTAATTTTATTTAAATTTTATTTCAAAAATATATAAAATATATTTTTAAAATCTTTTGCAGTATCCGCAGTCGCGGGTATTTTCTAAACAAATATCTATACAGATAACGAGCAAGTTGCAGGTTATATTTATTTTTTGCAGATCGAGTTGCAGATAGACACTATCCATACTCGACTCAACCTATTGTCATTTTTAGTGACCATGCTTACTTATTAATATATGAAGAAACTTGTCAATAATGAATGTATGAAAATACTTGTATATTGTGTGCTTTTATACTTATTCTACTATATTGATCATATGATAAATTCATCATATTATATAGTCTTATCAGCATAGGTGAAAACTTCAATATTGTTTTATGATTATGATAAGCTTGAATCATTTGATTGTTCAGATCATTTGGACATGTATCATCTAATAAATGTATTTTGTTATCAAATCTGATCATTTCAACTTATATCATATTGTTTGTGTATCATTAACCATAAATGTTGAATTTGAATAAGATAGTAATTATTATTTGTATAATTTACTGTTTATTTATTTATATAATTAACTACTATTTATTATAATTTATTAACATTTATTACGAATAATTTATTATCATTAATTATATTTATTGTATTATTTATTATATATATATATATATATTATTTATTACAAATTAGTTTAAATAATGTATTATTTAAAGACTTAATTATATTTTAAGTTTCTCATAAATTAATAATTTTAATAGAGTTGCTAATTAATTTTATGGTTTACAGTACTCAATATTCAATTGAGTTCATAAGCCAATTTGTTAATGTGTTTTTGTTAACGAGGTGAATGTGGAATGACTGACATGGTTGTTATGATACAACCGGTTGAATTTTCACATGTTAATTGTTTTATAACTTTATAATTTTATAATTTTAAAATTTATATTTTGATAATTTTATAATCTCATAATTTTATAATTTTACAATAACTTTATAATTTTCTAATGTGTCAATTGAAAGTTCTTCTAAGGGTCTTAAATTTATTATTATTTGTTCTGAACTATTAATTAAGTGTTTATTAATTATAATATTTTCACATTCAACTAAAAATATTAAAAGAATTATAATTTCATAATTTTATATTTTGATAATTTTATAATCTCATTATTTTATAAATTGTTTAATGTGTCAATTGGAAGTTCTCGAATTTCAGAGATCTTAAATTTATTATTATTTGTTCTAAACTATTAATTAAGTGTTTATTGATTATAATATTTTAAGTAAGACCTTATATTTCGTTATAAAATGACGTCGTTAAAAACGGTGCAAATAAATGAATTTAAATAATTTTTTAATTTAAAAAAAGAGTATAGAAAAGTTTCTGCCGCATCATCATCACCATCTTCAGACAAATCCTAATTTCTTCCAAGAAACCCTAGCCACCGCACCATCCAGCGCCGTCACTGTCATCCTCAGCGGTAGCGTCCTCTCCAACACATCACGCACCACCATTAAAGCGTCTTCTCCCTTCTGTTGCACCTCCATCACCTTTGCATCTCATGTTCGTTCTCGCGTCACCACCCAACGCGATCCCTTGTTATGCCGTGACTACAAATCTTCACCATTTCACCCTCGCACCAGCCAAATCGTCGTCGTGTCAGCAGCACTGCCGTCTAATCTCCACCACAGAATCGTCCACCACTAACCACCAGTCAAATCGCCAACTGTTGCAGATCGCGAAACGCCACTCTTCTCTACCACTAATTGCGCTGCTGCTTGCCTCCACCTGCAACCACAACCAGACCTGCAAGCAAATTGTGGAGACCTAGGGTTTCTCGCGTTTTTGTCGCATAACTTTGGTGGTGGCGTGTGATGCGTTGGAGAGGACGGTTGAGGATAGACGTGTGTCACATGCTTATGAGATGTCACACATTTGCACAGTTATGTTTTTAACAGCGAACATGACCGGATTAAATATTTTTTAACAAAATATAACTTTTTTAAAAGTTTGGATTATTTTAAACCAAACCCTTAAAAATAGGGATCATATGTATTAAAACTGACTTAAATAAACACTCATTTAAACTATTCAAAGTTTTTTTAAGAAAGTGGTGAACAACCTTTTGAGGACTCTTCAGAGTGGTTATTATTTAAAAAAAAAATTAAAATAGTGAAATCCAAAATTATTTAACATTTAAAATTTCGAAAATTTCCACTATCTAATAATAATAATAATAATAATAATAATAATAATAATAATAATCTAATGTAATGTAATAATTAAAATAATAATGTAATTCTGTGACTAATAATAACATAATTAAATAATTTAACAATTACATGACTAATATATTACGAATATTAGTAAATCATAAATAATAATTTTACTTTTTATTATTATTTATTCCGAGTCATTGGTATTTATTATATTTATTTATATTATCTATTGTTATTTATATTAACGATTTAATATTATTTATTTTTATGTATTTATTATAAATTATTTTACTATTATTTATTATGATTTCTGTTTATTATAGTTTATTACAAATCATTTTACTATTATTTATCATATGTATTTATATTTTATTTATTTATTGAGGACACCTATTTTTATCTCTCGCATTTTACGTTACTTGTTATTACATTAATAAATTGATATTATAATTCATATAAAAAATATTTGTTCATTACTCCATTGACCATTCGTTTTAATTTTAAATAAGAACACTTTTTTCTTCTGACACGTAATTTTCCTTTTTAACATGTAATTTATAAAAGTTTGAATGCTACGTATAAGTTAACTTAAAAAATAATCATTAAACTAATTTTAAAATGCAATTTAAAAAAAAATGTATTTGTTATATTTGAATACTCAAAACACGCATATATATATATATATATATATAATATATTATATATATATATATATATATATAATAACATACCACCATAAAACTGTTTAAGCTTTGAAAGAATTAAAAAACAGTGATATGATTATCACTAATGACAAAAAATCAACATTGATAACGATATAAAACATCCATGATGATTAATGAGATAAATACAAAGAAAAAATGATCTGCCAAAGTTCCTTATAATAAAAGGAAAGGCTATAGAGTGAGCAAGTTAATAAAGGAATGTGTGCCAGAATTTAAATCAATTTGAAAAAGAAGGATTAGACGTCATTAAGCTATTTAATTAGCCAATAAATTCTAATAAATATGCATTGGGGGGTGCATCTTCCTTTATCTTAATTCTTTTCGGGAAATTTGGATGGCCCATGCCTTTATAAACTGCATTTAATACAATAATAAAT